CAGATCTTCTTGCAACAATATTTCACATGTTCTTATGCCTTTTCAATGTGTTTGAGTAACTATAAGCCTAAATTCAATCTAGTATATGGCACATGTAGGCTTAAGTCATTTTCATGCCTGTTAAGTTCAGAGAGTAAAATAAGGTACAAAAAGGATGGGGGGGGTGGCAATGGTAAGTCAGAATTAAACTCTGAAAAAAGGAGTGCCAATAAACAGACTTTAAGCCAATTACTTGCCTGCGGGATGAGGTCTCATTTAAGGGTAGCTTAAGCAGGTGCTCAGGGCAGCTACAAATCAGGGCAATGTAAATATGAAACAAGTTCGTTTTTTAAATACCATTACAGAATTTTAAAACAGAAACTTAGAAAGAAACCACTTTAATTTTAGTATGTATGTGTAGACTTTATGTTTCACGGGTTGGTATTATTTTACTTGTAAGTACACGTGTGTTTGGGTGCCCTGTTTAGGATATTGAAAAGTCTTGATGTGCACCTTTAAATAAACTTTTAAAACAGAACTTCAGATTCGATAGGGGAAACATTTTTAATTAGCAAAAATGCATGGAAAGTATCAAAATTTTTTGAGACGTTCGAAATATTTACAATCCACACAAACATTTAGCCAATGGAAACGTTTGCTTGCTTTGAAGAGAATGTTACATACTTAGCCATGTGGACTCATCACCTAAATAGAGACCGGTTTACCCTAGAGCAGAGCTTAACCTTCAGTACCCTTCTCTGGTTTAGAATCCTTCTAAGACTCTGAAACAACTTTTGTTTTCACAAATTTGTACTGTTTTTCTTTCTCGATATTGTAGATGCTTTGGAGTTCCACGCTACCTAGGTCAACCCAAGCTAATTACTTCAAAAGACCAGAGGAAGTGATCAGCCAATAGGAAAGGACTCAGTCTGTTAGCCCTACTTATTAAATCCAATTTTCAATTTTAACCACATGGATTTTACAAAATGGGTGAGTACATTTCCTTTTAACTCCATTGTGTGAGTTAAAGTCCCTCCTCAGAATTTACATATCCCATTATCTTTAAAATTGTATAATGAATTAGACATACTTCTATTAATAATATTGAATCTATATCATTGTACAAATATTCATATTTAACCCAACTTTTATCTTTGCTGAAAAGTTAACTGACTACTTAAAAGGTGCACATTTAAATAATGGACAGCATGCATATTTTTAAAATACCATCTTCAACTGATCTCCTTATTATTTTTTTTTTTTATTAACAAATTTTACTCCATAATATATATTACTGGCAAATTGATTTTAAAGTTTTGGAGCTTGTTGGAAGCGAATACAACTTACTGGCATAAATTATATTAGTTAAAAGCTGGCTGAAGCTTGCTCACTCATGAATATTCAAAATGAAACTACAGATTGTCAGTTGCATACTATCTATCATATTATGAATTAAAATAGCATGTGCATTTACTTAATGAGCCTGATTGTAAAATATATCTCTCCAACATGTAATTCTAAAGAGTGTGCCTTTTTTTCTTATGAGATTCAGTGACCTCACAATACCAGGATCTGGCGCATTGTGTGTTCAATTATACTTAATAAGTACCACATTTTATAAGATAAGGAGAATAAATAAAATCTTCTTACTTCTATTCAGCACCTGCCAGTCAAAGGTTCCTCTATCTATTATATTACACAACTTGATAACTGTAGCCTATTCAAGCTCAAGGGTATGTTGAAGAAAAAAACTGATGCCCCAAATCTTTTTCTTAGAACAGAGGGAAAAGGAAACACTGTAAAAAACACAAGGATAAATTCTTCTTATACAAAGTCTGATGATAATTTAATATTCAAGTGGAGCAGATGGACCTTCTGTTCGAAACTCTTAATTCAAAAGACTCAAATAGGCAACTTGTGAGACAATAGGGCACCAAATGGAGCTTGGCAAAGGGAGAAACACAAAAGCGAATGAGATCACAATGGGTTCGTTTCCTTTCAAGCAATGAGCACTAACAGGGTGAATCTGGCTTCGAGAGAACTCAGAGTGAGTGATATTTGTCTCATTTCTTTTTTGATCAGTTGCTGTGGCTCTCCATAATTCTATACCTAGTAATGCCAACAAGCTATGCCTTCCCTAGGCTCTTTAGGGAAAAGTGTTAAGAAACTCAGAAATCTACACTCATTCCTAAAAATATACTACAAAGAATCCTGAAAATACCATTAGGATGGCTCTGGGACAAAGGAGTAGATTGTAGGAATAAAAGTCATATTAATTTATTAATACATTTAACAAGCATGTACTGAACTCCTACTATATGCCTGGTAGTCTGCCAGGTACTAGAAATCAAAGGAGAAAGAAATATGATTCATCCCCTCACTACTGAGTAAGGAAGACAGACTTGTACACAACTAACTATAATAAATGCCAAGCTAAAGTGCTATAATTAAGAAATTATGTTACATGTAAACACAGGAGACTGAGTGGTAAAATGGGAGGGGACGACTGGATCAAGGCTGAGGGAACAAACAAGGGCTCAAGAAGGACCCAGGCTCTGGCAACGACAAGTCACCACCACCCTAGGGCTAAGGGACAAAGAGAGGAAATGGTTTTATTGGAGCCCAAGTTGAGCCAAAGCTCTGAAGGCGGGACAGCCTGGTGGGAGCTGAAATCATGAGAAACACAGGTACTGCCAGAAACCCAGCCCGGTGCAGGGAATGGGCAGGGAACAAACATGGCCAACTCTCTCTCCTCCAGCTTTCCAATTTCCTGCCAGGGCCTCCCATGGGCAAACCCTCCCGAAAGCCAGCTGGCAAGAGAGCGGGGCGATGCGGTCTGCAGAAGTCCAGCTCCTGGGGCACAGAGCTGGGCAGAGAAGGAGAGAGAATGGAACTGGGAACACGGGCTGCCCAGGAAGAAAAACCAACACCCAGCACACCTGGCTCTCTTATTAACTCAATTTAAACCACAAAGAGGAACAATTTACAAGGATAGGTTGACTAGAAAGGCATGAGAGAGTAGAACACAGAACAGATAAATTCTGAAGAGGGAAAATAGAGGATTTTTTTTTAAATTCAGATCTGTTTGAAGGAAAAGTCCAGGTAACTTATCAAAATGAGGTCCCTAGGCAAGCAGAAGGCAAGACGAAGGAACTGAGCCCTGGGCTGCTCAAGTGTCAGAATAGAGGAGAGGAATTAGATTAGGCATCGGCCCCAATTTTAACCAAGGCCAGTCCCTGCAGGTTCCAGGAACCAAGCCTCAAAGATAGTAATACTCAGGGCTACTACATTGACTGCAAGAAAGTCTCCAGAATTCCCTAACTGAGTCGGACCCGCCTGCTTACCCTTTCCCAGCAGGGTGTAAAGTAAAAGAAATCACTTCCTCAACAAAACAATAAAGGAAAAATCACTCTGCTGTACTGACTTCTTCTTTAGCTGAATTGCATTCATGTGTTCATAGTCAGAGACTTCATCACTTTCCTAGTTTTGGGGTGTGTGTGTGTGTGCGCGTGCTGGTGTGTGTATACACAGTATTAAATTTCTTATGCTATAACTCTGAATTCCTATGTCCAAATCATTTACTGACTTAAAGCAGAATTATGGCCACAAGGCTGCTTTTTCAAAGATCTATGTTAAGTGATTTACTGAGTATACAACATGTTTATATTCTAAGATGTGAAGTTTCTAGGGAGATGGTATTCATTCACAGTCTTAGCACTTTGCAGCCTAAGAAGCTAGCCCCCATGAAGTCAGACTCACACACAGCACTGCCACGACTCTTAAGTTATTAATATTAACCAATGTCAAATGCATATTTACTATGACTCTGGTATACGCTGGTACCAGGGGGTACCATTCACATCATGTGAATTATGTCACTCAGGGTCATCCAGTGAACAGCCTATTCAGCCATAGGTAGGGACATTAATTAGAACTCAGAGAAAATTCAATAGGATGTTATTACAATTGGTATATATGTTTCACCAAGGCTATGGATTACTAATTACACAGTTACTAGCACCATAATTATGAGAGAATGTGCAAAAGCAATTAATGTGAATTATTTTCGTGTCACTACCCCCCCCCCGCCATTTTAACAATTAACAAGAAATAGGAAGACAGGAAATGCAACAGAGGCAAATCTGAAAGTCGTCAGTTGTAAAAAAAAAAAAAAAGGTGAAAAGGAATTTACAGAACAGACTGAGAAATGGATAAGCGAAAGAAGCCAGTAAAACTCTAAAAGCCCTAAATTACACACTAAAATCCCGATTTACTGGTCATTAATGCAGAAATAGAAAACGCAGATGCCTCTAATGAGATTTAAAACAACTTCTGCAAACCCTTCTCGAAAGAATTATTTAAATCTATCTAACGATATTTTAGAATATAAAAGCAAAAAGACATAGATTTCACTTCTAAATATTTCCACATTCACTGGATATTTAGCTTTTCCTTTTTATTACTGGATTGAAAATACATGAGTCTACTCTTTCCCAACTGGTATCAACACCTTTTAAAATGATACAGCATAAAATTAAAAGTTATAGATGCCAAGAAGAAAGCCAGTAAGATTCACTTAGGTGAGAAATGAGACTTATGGTTTCTTTAAAATTCTCTCTAAAAACACCAGGTATGGGTGATCTTTAGATTGTTTAAGCTCTCTGTTAAGGGCAGAGCTGTACAAGTAGTGGCTTTTATGTGATGCTTTTTGAAATCTTGATTTCTTCTGGGAGGGCTCTTAGAAACCCAGTGTACAATGTCAGTTATTTCATTTTGAGCCAACATGATAGTTATTTGTCAGTGATACACAAATCAAAGCTGTTGGATGAGAACATATCTCACTAACTGTAATTATATATATTGATGGTTTTATTATCACTTTTTAAAAAGAATGTTCAATAAATGCATTCATGAGGCAGGCTAAGATTCCATGGAGTCAAACAAACAAACAAAAACATCTCAAAGTGTTTCAATATTCTTTAAAGACTCCAATCAGCCACACTGCATTTATCCAGCCCACAGTCATTTTTTGAAATCTGCACTCACTCAGAGTCAGTTCTTAACAATATGGTTGTAATAAACGATTTGAGCACTAAGTGCTATAAATTAATTTCTCCCTCTTCTACAGTGCTTAAATCTCTATTAGAGCACTGAATCCATTTTTCCTTTCCTCTAGTTACTTGTATGCTTTTTTCATCTTTCCAACATGAGACAGGGACAGTGAGTGTCTTATATGTCTTTGAATCTTGTATTCAGCACCCAGCACTGGCCATGGGTAATTAACTCTAAAGGCTTGTTGAATTTGTTTTGTAAGTTCTCTTCCAGCTTCCTGTTTGACGAAAAGGCAGGGGGAAAAAAAAAAGACAACTGTCCCTCTCTAATCTTCACGTTTTCCATTTGCCCTTATCCTTTGATTTTGCCTCTTATAGTAAAGGTCCTATATATCGGGTCTCACCGAAATAGTT